CTCTCTCTCTCTCTCTCTCTCTCTCTCTCTCTCTTTCTCGTTTTTTCGTCATATCGGATGAATATCTGGGAAATGAGAATCTCGGAGAGTTCGACATTTTCCATTTCCCCGCGGATTTAATAGCCGCGACAAATTTGCGACTGACCTTTACGAATTGCAAGCAATCTTGCTGTCTTGGTCGCCCGTCATCATCCCGTTCCACTCTTTAGAGTTTAGAGCATTGCGCCTGCATCGCGCGAGCCTAATTTCAAGATTGCCAAAACTAAATAATTTATACCCTCACTTCTTGAGATTATAGACAATGGTAGATTAAAAAATGCGTCATCATGTGCAACATCGTCTTTAATCGCTTCTGTATGTGTTTGCATAAGCGACATTATAAAATTATGACAAATGTAAATTTTGAATATTAAATGTAACAACGCTCATCGTTATCTAATCATGTATCATATCTCCGTTTGTAAATAAATAAGCTATTTAAATGTTTAAATGCAAAAATATCATAAAGGTTTCCTTGCGTATTCAGCTCTTGAATACCCTTGAAAAGAAATCCAATATCGCGCTCTCTAGACGTCGTCGAATAACCGGAAATAGAGCGAGGACATAAGCAAGCGTCTATCTACTGTACGCGTATATGCATGTACATATAAGCTGGTAATCCGTGTAATTGCTTTTCTCACTCTCTTTACAGATGTGCAAAAACTGTCGACGGGAGACATGCCAGATCCAAAAGAGAGGCTGCGGATCATCGATCGAACTGAACCTCGTCGGGAATTTTCCGCGTGACCATGTGTCACCGCGCCGCGGCCGTCCGCCGATCGTTCGCCGAACATCCTATACACACAGCGTTCTCGGTACTACACGATACAAAACGTTATTTTTCTTATTCATTTTCTTGTCACGTGTCGGCGTTGTTATTATTACTCCCGTGACCATGCGCCGAGTAGTGCGCTTGTGCTTGCACGAAGGTATGCTGCACACGAACGTAACGGGGCACCGCGATGTCCGGGAAAAAGTTTTCTTTTTCAATTTCGCTGATCTTAATAACAATATTGTCGCAAGTCAGTAATATAAATGAGTTGGCTAACTCGTAGCCCGTCTTTCGATACTTCCGTCTGATAAACGTGGAAATACCTCGTTGTTCTAAAAAGTCCTGGGAGGCGGTGAACATTTTTGGTACGTAATTTTAATAGTTAGCTTACGATATATCTTTTTTTTTTTGTTACATTGGAGGTGACGATGGGTAAAATGTCAGTCTAGCACCATCGGGATACCGCGCGACGGCACCCCCTGAACATTGTAAAAAAAACAATGCATTTATGTCATAGTACGTAAATGCACTTATGTCATAGCAAAGCTGAAATTTTGAGTACTAAAAATTTATTTAATAAAATATAAAAAAATGTAGTCCTTAGCGAAGATTATAGATCAGTATAGCACGTACTCCCATCCACACATACACGGGTTATATTACATTTAGTAAGGTGTTAGTCCCGTCGGCGGGCTGCCAGACTACACTTTTTTAGTACACATTTCAGCTTTGTTACTATGATGTAAGTACATTGTTTTTTTTTTTACAGATGCCGTCGCCGCGGCCGTCGCGTCACGCGGAGTTTCGACGCGACGCGACGGTGCACTGTCATTTTATCCATCGTCACCTCTAATGAAACAAAAAAATCATAAGCTATAAAACTGCTAAAATAACGTTCCAAAAATGTTTGCTGCCTCCCGGACTATTAATTTCGTTGGAGTTCGCGGCCGACAATGCCGACATAGTTCGCTCGCGTATCGTGACTATCGTGAGTAGGTTGAGTATGCCCAACACGGTTCAACGTTTCATTCGACCGATGCTAGGTATGCGAATATTGCAAATATCGAACATAAATGCCGGCGCCGAATGCTGGCGCGGCTTTCCAAACATTCGTAGCCAAGTGTGTCACCATATGGCCACACGTAATAACCAACGTGTTAAACATTTTAATATTAAATTTAGTGTAGCGCGAACGACAGCTTGTAATCCTGTCGGATCGATACTTTTAATTGACTGGTACCTAGTGTAGCGAGGCAAAAAAAATGACACAAGGATACTTACTGCCCCAAAGAATAACCGTAGTACAGAAAGGCCAACAGAAGAAGGGCGATCACAACAAGAGGCGTTCCCAAAAGAGGTCCAAGTGTAACGGCTAATCGAGAATCTTTCATTGCTGCACCGGCCGTCTCCGCATTCGTCACGTCGATTCCTTTGCCTAATAGAAAAATATGTGAAAAAATAGCATTCTGAGAAAAAGGATCTTGTTAATTAGTTTTATTGTTTCTAAGAGAAACGTAAGCAATTATCTTTTTAGTAATTAATCACGTAATTAATCATGTTTTTCTGTGTGCCAAACGTTTTTGATTAAACTTTAGAACAATTAAAGCAACTAAATAAAATGTCAAATAAAACCAGAGAATATCATTTATTTATAACGAACATTTTTTAAGTGTTTTTTGGACTGCGTTTGAAATTTAATTAAAATAATATATTTAAATTTATAATATAAAAATAATATGAAATATTTGTGTATGATACTATGTGTACATACACACCTGTACACGTACACACACACACACACACATATATATATATATATATACATATATATATATAACTGATATAACTTTTTACAATAAATAAATTATATTTCAATAAACGAATGAACGAAAGGATCGATAATGCTTGACAATGTCCAATGCGTTCCAATTATAAAACCGGATTAAAATTCCAGTTGAGTATTGACATTTGTAGGCGTTAACAACAATCGATATCGGTATTGCAAACAATGAGAACGGGACAAATAAAAAGGATTTTATCGTTTTTCACATATCTCCGTTTTGCTTGTACGCTAGTAAACTGTACGAGATTATTTACGTGATGAAATTGCTTTTTCTAAATTATCGGAAAATTGAATAGTCGTCTAACTTTGGTTTGGAACACAATCGAATCAATTTCTTGGTTTATAATCTTGTTTAAAAATTTATCAGAGATTTAAAACAACTATGTATACTCACTTCGCAACATTTCTCGCAGGTTTTCTACCGCTTCCTGTATCGTATTCCCGGAATAGTCCTCTTTTTCTTTTACGAGAATCTCGACGCCACCTTTCCAAGTGCGTCTGGTGTGCCAGGCAACCTTTTCCGTATATCCTTCTAAAGCTTCGTCCGCCAAGAATTGTACCGTTGCTAAAGAAATCTGCTCCGATATGGAAACGCGTCCGCCACAGTACGGACAACAGTGACCCTCCACCTGAAACACAAGATGAATTATGTCAATCAAGTAATAATGGAAATAAATAAATTACGTAATAAATAAATTAATGTTTTAAATAATGTATCTAACCGTAAGAGGATATTCACAGCCCGTAAATCCACATCTTGGCCTCTGAATGGCGCAGATCTCTTCGAGATAATCGCTCTGAGAGTCTCCCTGGCAGAAACATTTCTTACAGTCGTGCATAGTCAGGTACAGATCGCTGTACCTAAAAAAAACCAACAATTTTTCACAAAATACCCTTCGATCACAGTGGATACACACGTGTGGAAATGCATCAGCAAACATTATCATTCAGGCTTACTTTACGGTGAATCCGCCTCTGGAGAATTCCCTACGATCTTGGAAGTTTTGCCATTCCCACTCGGTAAACGGCTGCCTCTCGTTCGACAGCCGAATCGACTTCACTTCTATCTCCCTTACAGGTAGAAGGATACTAAAGGTGTGATTCTCGCTCGGCAGGACAACGTTGTCCTGGCGACATGGGACGCGCTCGAGATGCGGCGCCGCTATCGAGCTACCGTTCCAATTTGCGGGGTCGGCCCAGAAAATATTACCCTCTTTCGACCATCTACTAACTTTCGCGTCCGTCCGTGAATCGCTTAGCTTGCACACACACACACACACACATACAGAATCTTTATTATTAAATTAAATTTGTTATTAGTAAGATAGTGGATAAGTTAAATTATTTATTTGAACTTATTATTAAAGTAAATTATTTTATTTTTAAAGTAAATGTGGAAAAGAGAATACAAAAACGTATATTGTTAAATTTTTAATAGACTGTGATATCGTTTGAATTGCATAAATTTCAGCATTTTATAACGTTTATCGCTAATAAATATTCTGACAAGCTGGATTTTCCAATCAGTCAGAGCGTAAACAACATGTCAACATTAAAACATTAATGTCGCAATTATCGCGAGTGTATCATCGAAGCGGCTACGATATTTTGTAAAATTGTAAATGATTTAACTTTCCATCCGCGAACACACTCGTTAAACTCAAAAAAGGGGAAAAAGAGCGGTCAAATGCATTATTCTATATTCCCTATATACTCAATTTATTCTATCAACCTTCTGTATATTTTCTCGCGAGTCTATAGCTCACCTGCAGTTGACCATTTCTAGGGAGGACCAACAATCCCTGCCTCGGCAAATCAATTTCGGATAGTCTGAGATTATCGGCTCCGGCGATGCCCACCGCGTGCCGGGTCTGCTGAGGAAAGATCACACGGCTGTCGATCTCCGGGACACGGCCGTCCGCCCAGTTGCTCGCGGTTCGCCACTCCAGATCCGGAAGCCAGTACTTTTCGAAAGCGGTCGAACATCTCGATATCAAAATAACGCACAGCACGATTTTACGATACGGCGCGAAAGGGGCGAGCATGTTTTTATATGAATGTCTTAAACGGCCGGTCGATTGAACGAAGATATAAGTACGCGTAACGAATACGCTACTTCTCGATTAATTCTCACTTAAAAAAAATATGAAACGGTATAGTGAATTTAGACGTTCGCTATCAATCATTTGCAGCAAATTTTTTAACTCCGAAATAACGCGAGGAAGAGAAGTTGAACACGGTTGGGAATTTTTCGATAACTGAAAGTTACTCCGCTATAATCGAAGTCGATTGGGGGCGTGCCTGATTTAGGAGAGTCTGGCATGGACCTGCGTTATTTGTCACGATTAGATCGCCATGGGTTTCGTAGTTCGTTGAAATCAAAGTCTTTGTCGTATAATTATTTATTTGTATTTTTAAAGAATAAACAACTTATTGTTAGATGAGCAAGTATGCTATATACAGTAATTTAACATTTTTGTTTAAATCAGAAAAATTCAGAAAATTTTTTTATAGCTCTATAATTTAAAAAGATAACTGAATATATATACACTTAAACCAACACATTGTATAACGATTATCATCATTAATTGAAATATCATCATATAAATGTGGTTATTTACAAATATATATTCAAACATTTCTAAACTATATTTAGAACAGGACTGAAACATGAATTTCAAGTATCTCCGATTTTTATTAACAATTATTCATTCTGAACACAAAACACATGGAAAGCTAAACTTTCGCAATTCATATTAAATGTATCAAAATATTTGCATTCATGTATTTATTATTATGGTGTGATAGAACAAATCTACATTATTACATTACGCATGAAAATATAGGTAAGATTTATTATTAACAAAATTCTCATTTAATTGACATAATTAAATAAAATAGTGTTAAAAATATTCATATATGTTACATACATATGACGAAAAGAAGATTACAAGATTTATTATAGCTTTGAGAACAATGGTACAATTATGCATTAACTTTCTATAACGATTAGAAATATAATCGTCGAACAAGAAAGATAAGTATAGTACACTGCCACAGGTTACAGGTGGATATAACTTTTTAGCACATCGAGATATTGTTCCTACTTATCGTACGGTAAATTGAGTTTAATTGCTTGCTAAATTACGATGTAATTCATTGCAATACAAAAATGCAATTAACTTAATAATTTTTCCATCGCCTTTATCGATAATATATTCTACGATTGTAAGATGTTAAAAAATTATTTAAAAAAATAATCTTATTTTGACATCAATATAAGCGTATTGATGACCTAAATAGTATTGATGTATATAAATAATATAATATAATACGTATGTATAAGTAAACTCACAAAATACAAAATTGTTTTTTTTTCTCGTTTACGTTTGGTTTTCATCTTACAAACACAAAACGAATATTTTAATTAATTAAGGAGGATTATGAAAGCATGATAAAACAATAAAATCAGATAACCTTTACCTTAAAAAAAAAAAAAATTATTTAGAGAATTTCTACGTCAAATGTATCTTTCCATTAAGGTACCTGCGTCGTTTTTTAAACATTTACAAGTGAAGAGGGAGTTGTCGATGGCGCACGAATTTTATAGTAAGTTTTAGACAAAAGAAGTCTCGACGTCTCGTTATCGCTCTTAACTTCCGTGGACAATTCGTTCTGCTCTCGACACTCAATAGAACCGTACAACGTGGTATTGACATATACACTCAAGAAAGCTGAGTTACGTGTGATTTTAATGAATTCAATCTTTAAAAAATCTCGAGTTTATTATTTATCAGAAAAATAGAAACATTTATTATTTAATTTATTATTTATCGTAAATCTTATTAGTAAGTGTGTCAATTAATTATTAATTTGTACAACTTAGAGTGCCAATATACGTTAATTTTATAATGGACTTATATTATTAAAATCCGACACATCCACAATTCAAAAGAATTTATTAAATTATTAAGAAGTTGAAAAATTAATAAATTATACAGTTTTTTAAATTCTCTGTTCGCTGTTATTGCATTTTGTCAAAATATTTTCCGAAATATGTAAATCAGATATTTCTTTCTGAACGTCCAAGGGTTAAAGCGAATGAGGAAGATAATAATTCGTGCTCCTCGACGAGAACGGTTTACTGAATCAAATCCTCGTTCTCATCCAGTGCGTTGCCCAACCCGAACAAATATTTCGGGACTGTGACATCGTTCAGTCTTCTTCCAGCCGTTTCTCCAGTCGCCAACTTCCAGACTGACCGTTTTCCGACTCCAAAGTCGTAGTGTTGACCGCGTTTGTCCTCTATAAAGTCATTCGAGTTGTCCTCGCGAGATTGATACCCCTCCATGTTGTCGGTCGGGAAGTAGTCCAAACTCAAGGGATGGTATCCAATGCTGCGTTTTCCTAAACCGAACCTGTAGTCTCGGAGACGTTTGCCGACACCGAACGAGAATTCCCGGGTTCTCTGTGCACAAAGTTTCAACACGTGAAGATACGATTATAAAAAATTAATTATGATCTTATTTAAAATATATCGAATTCTTTTTTACTTTTGCTAGTATTTTGTAACGCATAAACAAGTAATGTAATAAAAATTCATGTTTCCTAATAATAATTACAAAACTTTATACGAATTTTTAATGTATTATTCGGATATTCATTGGATCAGTGACATTTCTAGTAATTAGATTATTTTTTCTAACAGAGAAATTATTCATAAAAAAAATTGAACGTATTATTTTATCTAAAACTCACTTTATCTTCATTATTGTCAGCCCATCGCTTTCCGATGCCAAAATTATAAACGGGTAGTCTCTTATATTCAGCGATGTAAGCCTTTTTCTCAGGTTGCTCATATTCCAAGTTGTTCAATAACGGTCGAAATCGTGACATACGTAAAGACGAGGAAGATGCGTCTTCTATTGCCGTTGTTGATCCAACGACGCTCAACAGGTAGAACATAATAATTCGCGTAGTTATTAAACTCGTTCTTGGCTTCATGATGCCTGTTTGAATCTGAAAGCACAAATGTCACGGGGACTTGTAATCTATAACGGACCACCAGATTGCAGGAACAGGATTTCGTTCTAACTAATGTCATATCAACTTTTGTAGTAGTCCGAGATAGAATTTTCACAAATTCACGTAAAATTCTCACCCTTGTCAAAAGTGTGAGAACTAATTTATATTAGTTTAACTTCTGTTTTTATTATGTCTGTAATTTCTCCACCTATGAGACAATAATATAGGGTAAGTAGACCAACAATGAACCAGTAGTACACTATGAACTATTTCGTAAATGTGACGTTGCCAGATTGTGCTGTTGCCGTGTAACGACTCGCATTTAAACCCCTCTTCGGCGCGCCCTACTTAAGGAAAACTGAATTTATCGAGTACTATATTTACTATGTTTGAGGCAAATGAGTTATAGTAATAAAAACTTTATATTGTCTACTACTATAAAACAAATTAGAAATATGAAATATTTATTCTTTGTTAACAAAAAAAAATTTTTAGAAACTCTTGCATTGTTTTATAACCTTTTTTCTTTTTGGCATTTTTTGATTGGTCAAGAAAGCGCGCATGCAGATAGCGCCGTATTCTGAGACTGGTGAATTAAAATAAAGTTTATTTGTAAAATAAAAGATCCAATCATTATTAAAAATATAAAAGTCCATTTAATAATTAAACTGAAAAATAAATGAATCAAACTGAATGAATAAATTCAAAGCGATTATAAAATAACAATATTTCTTGCGTATATAACGTGATGGGCATTTTATTTATAAGTGAACTTATAACATTTTCAGAAATCTTGTCGTAAAATCTTATCTATCTTTGAATTTCACCAGAACATAAAAGCGCGTTAATGCAATACTCCGCGAAGATTTTACGAGTCCTTCAAGCGCAGATGCACGCAAATGGAATTCTACCATGTAAAAATAAAATAAAGAGTTATTTACGACTGCAGAGTAGGAGAGTAGCTTCTACTCGTAGAGGTGTCGCGCCAATTTTACGACATGGATTTAAACAGTCGTAGTGTGTACTGTGTGTACCCTACTTATTTGCAAGGTATTTTCACACCGACACATTGAACCGAATTCTATGTTCAATCTAGAAAAATTACTTTTATTTTTACGTTCCTTTCTCCACGAATAATATTTTATCGTAATGCACGAAACAAAATGGTGGTTGCAAAATTTCGTTAAAATACAAAAAAAGCACATGAATTTTATATCAGTAAAAGGACTATTATGCGTGTTGCGGTTATCAATTAAAATATGCGTTTTCATCAATTTAAAAGTAAAATCAATGTTGTATTACGAGTGTACGAGACGTCGATATACGTGTGACCAATACAGTTCTCGGACAAACATTTAACATAATGGAGTTAAAAAAGAGCGAGCGCAGTCTGGCGTGATTGAATATCACAACATCGTTACAGACTGCTAGAACCGAAATCCTCTACGGACGGGTCCGTTCAATATTTGATGGCAAAATCCGAGATTATGAATCCTCCTTCGTTTCGCTTGGTCACGCTGCTTTTGGAGAAGCTTAAACGGATCAAGGGGGCGAGCACGAGAGGTCAAATGGATGTAGGTAAAAATTGCGAAGGTCCATAGAAAATCCTTAAATGTCAAGAAAGTCAACGCAAGTCATTTTCGCTATGGCGCACTATGATGCGACGTTTAGATACAATTCTTTTTCCATCGCCAAGATAAAATGTAAAATGTTTCGTGTTATTTACACTTGTTTGTGCAATATCAAATTTGCGTGTTAAATTTGTATGTGCATGACTGAACAGCCTCAATTATACAGATAAAAACTACAAAACCCACTCTCGGTCCGCAATGTTAATTCCGCTGAGCCGTTGAGTTGAATTAAAGTCGCATAAGATTAAAATGACGATTTCATTAGGGATAAAGCGATGTCCAAGAGGCGTAATAAACGTTTCTGCAACTCAATTTAACTTGTCTACGATACCGCTAACTTATAATTGCCAATGAACGAAAGTTCATCAAAGATTTCATATCCGCGTTTTGTAGCTTTCGCTTACATATATTCTGACATTAAAGGAGATATTTCTGAATATTAAAATTTCTTTCTGTTATACATTATAGTATATTACAATTCTAACTCTGCTCTGATAAATAAAACTGTTCTTTAAAACTGCAAACTGTATAATCTTTATAATAATAAGATTAAACATAGTTGCTAATTTTAGTTTCTCGCGCTGTGCGCGCGTGAAGGTACGAGACGATGTTTTTAAGTTTTTACGAGAGTGATGAGTCGGAGAGTTTCCTAATGACTTACTTAAAGCTGAGAAGTTTGATGGTTGCAGAAAGTGCTTTTTTATTTTTTTAAATCGAAATATAGTTTTATTTTTCTTAATCTTCACAAACTTCAATTTTTATTTCACGCACGTATTCTTATTTGCATGAATAATTTTGACAGATTAAGAAATAATGTTATTTCTTCTCCATCAGCTTAATAAATTAACGTGTAAATTCTATCAATACTAGATTTCGTCACAATTTATAATAAATAAAATCTTTTCGTTTGTTCTAAAACTTCAATTCAGTCTATTTTTTTTAATATCAACAGCCTTTCAGAACTGATAGAAAACTATTTATTTTCTTTGGAAAATAAATAGTTGTCAATCTCGCGAACTTTTTTTTCGAAACAAAGTTTTCTTTGTCCCGCGTTGTATGTATCATATTTTTGAAAAATTTCAAGCATGGCATTTGATCTATTCAGAGTACACGCAAGTTAGCTTAAAATTTATTTGTGAAAGCGTATATCCGAATATTATATATGTATTAAAGCAAAAAACTATCATCTATTCTCATTCGCATCGGATCCTGTGTGAAAAAGACAAATTGTTTACTTTTGTATCATCACATAGCGTAAACTACATATCTATTTAGCGATCGGGTGTCTGATAATTATCGCCTGTCCGATAATTATTTTTACCGACAACAAAGCTCTGCTTTATATCATTCGTTTGCTTTATCTATTCTTCCCTAACAACGAAGAAAGCTTACATTGTCTTACCCGTCACTCAAGGTGGCGAGAGTGCCTTAAAGGATATTGGACATTCCTCTTTGAAAGGACATTTCTCTTATTGATTTCGTTAGCAGAATTTTTGGCCCGTATAAATATGAAAAATGATTGCCAATACCTGACCGAAAACGCAAAAAATACATGAATAAAAACACGCGTATGTTATAGTTTACCGTCTATACGTACTCTGTATAGTAAATACGAGGAACAATGAAAAGATAAAATGTCTAAGAAAGATAAGAAAGAAACAGCATTACGATTTCTTTTAACAAAAATTACATATTTTTGCATTTTATACGCTTTCTCTGTTTGCCGTCACGCAGAAATGAACAAGCGGAACTCTCCAAAAAGCGGCGAAACGAGATGAAAGGGTATGACAGTAAAGTAGTTGCTTTTGAACTTCGTTTCAAATGATCTTACGCATGCATGATGTATCAAATTAAATTACATTATAATATTAAAGTATTATATATACTTTATGCGTGAATTAATTAACGAATGAGCGGTCTCGTAGTTCCGCGAAAATACGTGTCAGTGATTTCATACAAGAATACGCTAGGTATCTTAATTTCAAAGAAATACACCTTTGTAGAAATACACGTTACAGCATATATGTGACATTACTAATTAGTTTAAATGTTTAATATTGTATAAAGGACTCGTATCTATACATATTGTATCGTACATATTGCTGAAATATTTGTAATTGAATGTAACGTTGGTAAAACCATATTTCATTGAAAGCAACTTAATACGACTACGCCGAGCAAATAGCTTTATTTCCTGTAGAAATAAAGCTATTTCCTGTAGCAATAATTACATACGAGTCCTGCAAAGCCACAGCATTTTGACTAAGCAGCCGCATAAATAAAAAAATAAAATTACACAAAATAAAACACATAATTATGTGTATTGTTCTTATATTATAAAAAAATCTTTATTACATTGTTGTGTCTTTGAATATTTACTGAGATGTCATAAGGCATTCTAGCTCGATGATTCGATTTTCTGTATGTTCTCGCTTTCATGGTCTCTCTCTGGATTCGTCACGATTTTTTCTGTCATTTTATAGACCGGATTTATATACCGTGACACGACATTCCTTTGAGAATTCTGATGAGATGACACTCGCACAATGGACCAGCTTTAAATTCACGTTAAATGAAGCAGAAGGCCTGATCGATCCGCGACGAGATTGCTATGAGCTCGATCGCACAAATGCGACGATCTCTCGTGCCGGATCTTTCATGGTCTGTTGAGTACACTACTACTGAGCTACCATCAATCATTGGTCCGCTCAAAAAGTCGTGTCATAAAGTACTTTGATTACACCATGCAATTTAATCGAATAAATCGAGTAGTGCTCCTCGGAAAAAAGTCCTCTGTCGTTATTTTAAAAATCCTAAATTTTCTTTGACTCTCTTGAAGTGCGATGATCTCGATAATCTTGATCAATATTTATGGAATGCTCTCCTCGTAGAGCCATTCACACACACTCTTGGCTCTCAATAAGGATCGAGATTACGCCGCGTTCTATACTAGACTTTATTTACATTGTAATACACATTCACGGCTTCTCATCGAATTTCTTTTGTTATCGACACGCGTTGAAGACTTTTATATCTTTTAACCTTTTAACGTAACGTTTGCGGTAGAATGTCAGTAACAAAAGATGAAATAAGAATAATAATACGTCGAATAATGGAGCGGCAAAATTGTTTTTCATAATTTATTGTAATGTAGAATATACTCTTTCTCTGTAACACTTCCTTGTCTGAATCACTCGTGTTTCCGAGATATATTTCCTCCAACTATTTTTTAAATGCTGAATACTGGAAATTAATTTTGGATATTGTAAAAACTTTTATACTACGCAGATAAATCAATTTATTCGGTTGTTTTGAAAATAACGTGAGTTCAAGTATCATCTTTTCATTCTTTTTTAAATGTCT